CGGATAGATGCTAAATTTAAAACCGACTGCGTTTTTCCTGTTTTTCTCATCTCTTCTTCTTTGCAAAACGCAAACGCGCGTTTACTTTTACACGTGCGCGTTTAGATATGTTTTTGCACAAACGGTTGAATTTGACGACAAGGCTGCGTTCTCTCTCTCTCTCTCTCTTTCTCGTGCCTCTCATCTCGCCAGACGTTTTCCGCACTGAGAACTACAAAATTACGGCTAGCGAGTTGTTTCCGGAAAAGTAACGGACCAAAGTGCGATAATAAAGAGCGTTGTTGCGCGCGGATGCAGAACGCACACAAAGCCCCGACGGATTCGTTTGTAAACCACTGCGTAATGATACGTGTCTTTTTTTTTCTCTTTCTTTCTCTTTCTCTGTCTCTCTCTTGTTTCCTCGCGTATTTCCGCTCTCTTCGGTAGCCGGCACACCGGAGAGGCGGGATCGAAGGCGGCAATAATTAGTGGAACATGAATCGCTGAATTTCTCTTCGTCCTCGGGACCGCGGATCGATAATACGCTCGCGACACACCGCGGCACACAACAAGCGATTTACATATACCAGCGTGGCAAAAATACCTCTTGCAACGTGTGTTCGTGCATCGACGTGTATTCTAAAAGAGACTCTCGAAAGCATAAATAACTCCCGACCTCCGAAGTAACAGCGACGGCCAGGAACGATGCGCCGTATCTCATGTTTGAAAAGCGTGTCGCGCACGCGATAAATTACACATAACGATATTAACTTCCTTCGCCCTATCATAACGAGTGACGCTCGTTAACGACGAAACTTAAACTCGACGAGTGCGACTTGATTGTGGCACACAATCGTAGTTTTCGAGCCGAACATGATAAACGCGAGCGCGTGACTCTTCATCGATATAAACCGTCACGTGTATTCTACATATGGAAAGCGGAAATTCGTTATCGAACGAATGCTGACACGCGTTATCCCAACGCACAAATTAACTCGGTCAGCGCAACGATACGAAAAATGGCAGGACAGGAGAATTAATCGCGTTTGAACACACCCGTTGTCCGCTATCTCGCCTTATTAACCTTTAGACCGCCGGCATTTTTTCACTCAAATAGTATTTTTTTTTTTTTTTCTAAACGATTCGTGTATATTAATAACATACACGTTATGTGAAACCTCGAGGTTTGCATGAAACCCCAAAAGAGATTCTTGCGGCGGGGAACGGAGGTTACATATATTAATAAAAAACTTTTTTTCTGAAAATTGCCATATTTTAGTTACTGGTTAACAATTTTGAGTGTAAATCTGTGAACTTTTGAACTTATGAATAATACTGACGATATGACCGAGTATAAATGTACAGACTTCTATTGAAAAATAGCGTAGAATGAACAGAGAAAAATTTCTCATTTTTGCGCATTATTCAGTATTTATATTTTTTTTAATATTTCACATATCTTATACTTTTTATTCTCCTGTTGACAAAATTTGTATGATAGGATCGCGCACAGTATTTGAATAACAATAAAATAATACTGTTTGAATTACAGTATTATTTATATTATAATTATCGTTATTATAATTATTTTTATTATATTATTATTTTATTTATATTATAATTTGAATTACAGTAAAATAATACTGTAATTTGTATTTGGCAAATATCAATAAACACACATGTTTACATATACATATATACAAAAGCAAATACACATGGAAAAAAAAAGTTAGCTCTCACAGCTAAAAATTAAGTTTGGTTCTTAAATTTTGGTAGTATTATGGACACCTAAGCTCTTAGTGCTACAAGACATACATATTTTGCTATTATGTCGACATATTTAGAAATATCAGCACAAACTGTTTCTATGTAATAGGAAATTTTATAGCTACAGCAGCAAATTCAGTTCCAGCAAACCGTAATTAGCGCGCGCTGTGATAGAAACTATTTTTTTTTTTTTTCCATTCACTTACTGTATATTTACTACGTATATATGTATTAATTAGTATTTTTTAAATCACGTAAATACCTTAGAAATATAGAAATATCAAAGCCCCAAAAGATGCTTTTGCGGCTGCCTAAAGGTCGTAACGCGGAAAGCTTGGTCTATTGAAATACACGGATTGCGCGTCAGATCATCCGACATTTTCAAAGCGTTTTCGGTCGCGAGACCGTAATAACGATGGAATTTAATGGAAGACTCGACTGCTCTTTAAAGGCGAAGCTTCCTATTCTTCGATACGACAATTTCCGATTCGTATCGGAGCGCGTTGAATCCACCTCATGTAATTCATCATGAAGTAATGTTATTCCGCGTGAACGCTTGGATCCTTTCGAACGCTCGAATTTTCAACAAATGAATTTCCTCCGGTCGAGCGAATAGAAACGTTAAAAAAATTGCCTGGCGTAACGATCAAATCCTGCCGTTTGCTCCCTGCATCGACTCGTTCTGAATTGCAATGGTTTGATTGACAAAATCTCCGCGATTGACGTCGGCAAAATCCTATTATTATTCACGAGGCAGTTTTACGGGACTAACTTCAATCAGTCTTACGAATATATCGAACGAAACAATCGCCAGTAAACCACCTGTTACACGCGCGCCGACGCTGTATTTTTTCCTTTTTTTTTTTTTTATAATTTCATAAAGACGCAACTCAATTTGCACACCTATTTTGCGTGCTTTATTAGCGCGATAATGTTACGACCAAACTTCGAGCACCTAACCTCGCCTATAAAAATTCTTCCTCCGCGCAATTTTTTTCCTCGCCGCGAAACGCCGCGCTCTTAAACGGCAAACTCGTTTTTACAAGCGCGATCGTCGGGTTAATAGATTAAACTGCGCGCTTCCAAATACGCTTCCTCGAAAAAAAAAAAAAAAAAAAAACGTTTCAGAGATTTGCAAACGTTAATTGGCTAAATAACCAACGGCATTCTCACTTCGTCTTGAGTACAAAAAAAAAACAGAAATATACATATTACTTCATAAAGTGGAGATTATTACTTCATAAAACGGAGATTATTACTACGCTGATGTCAGGCGGCATAATTACCAGAAGGTAAGAACTCTCGAAAAAATTAAAATGTAAACGAAGTTACGAAAAGAGCAATAAAGTTAACGGTGGGAAAGACCGGTTAAGAAATGAGTTCTCGTGTATTGCACTTTTTTTTTTTTTTTTTTTTTTTTTATTCGTGACGACCCACTCCGTCGTCTAACGTAATATTCTACGAATATACACACGAAACAATTTCGATCTCGAAAGTTCCGTTGAAACTGTCAAGTGCGGCATAAAACGGAATCGGGCGATAAACGCGCCTCTTCCGTAAGGGAAAAATACGCGCGTCGCAAGGCGCGTCTGAAATTGCACGGGAAGACGACGCATTGGCATCTGAAAATTTCTTCAATAAAAAGCAACAGAAAAGATATTCAACGTTCGCACTTTATATAAACCGATTGTGACTGATGCAGTGTGCTCGAAATATTCTTTTAAAACTGCGTCATCGCGTTTTCTTTGTGAATCGATTCTTTTTGTTATATTACATTTAAACAAAAAGAAAAAAATACAATTATATTTTTATCATTGTGTCGTTGTTGCCGGGAAAATTGTTCCCTTGCAACATACGAAACTATTTGTGGTTTTCGCTACGTTTAAAATAACCTTGGCAATTTTATTTTAGGTTTAACAATGGGATCCTCGAAACGTTCGTTACATATTTGTTTAACCGCGATTTTCATTGCCGACACGCGAATATTCCGCGCTATGATGGAAGAATGTCACGTACCCATTTGGTGACACCACGACACACATAACCGCACAGATAACAGCTTTGTTCGTAATTTAAAAATAAAACACGCAGAAATCAAATAATTCGCGAATCTCCGCAGATGATGATTTCATCTCGTAAACGTCAAGAACAACTGAAGAGCGACAAAAACCAGATTTAATGAGAGAGAGAGAGAGAGAGAGAGAGAGAGAGAAATGAAATGAATTATTCGTCGCACGATTTGCCGCGAACAAATCGGAACGCGTTAAAACCATAACGCAAACCGAGCATCGAAATTCCTGTCACGCCGGCTTTCGCAATTAGATCCGCCAATTAACGTGTAAAAACCGATCGCGCTCCACGTTAACTCCCGATCGCACTAATTCATTAATGAAGATCTCTAAGCGATCCAGAAATTTTGATATCAACCAGAAGTGCCATCACACAGACATCGGTTTTCTCTCGCATTTTATAAAACAACAAAAAATACTAACACATTATCTCACCTCGTTTTACTTTGTACAGAAAATAGACACCGGGAATCTAAAGATATCGCTATTATCAACTTTTTGTAGTTTGATCCGGTGACATAAATTTTCTGTCTCTTTAACTTCTCGAATAATAATTTTAGATTGTTCTATTAAAAGATTGCATATCGACTTTTAATTAATTTTTTTAAGTGCTATCGAAAATCATTAGAGTTCTCTTTATAGAATTTTTTTTATTTATGTATTTTATTAAAATTTGTACTCAATTATTTATATATATTTTACGTATCAACATACAAATAATTATTCTCTGAAAAATATTAATTTTCCATGAAAAAAAAGTTAAAAAATTTAAGAAAACAAGTTCAATTATCTAACAAGTCGCAATTGTAAATGATCTCTCGTTTCAATATTTCATTACTAATGCATCACAGATAATATCTGCTCTGTGTACAAAACGAAGAACACGTATTATGCCCTCAAAGTTCGCGATTGAATCACAAGTGCCGCGCGATCTTCGAATTCTCGACAAATTCGCCGTCTTGACAGGTGACGATGGATGCTTAACGAGCGGCGTAATTAACAGATTTCGCCGTACTACAGGTGTCAAATGTACCACTCTGCGGTATAATCGACACGCGAGCTGTAAGATGCGGAATATTAAAAACAAAATAAAAAAAAAAAAAAAAAAAAAAAAAAAACAAGAAATTGGTGTAACAATTTCAACACGCGACAAAGTGTTCTTGTTTTTCTTTTTGTTTTACTCACCAACAAGTTCCGTACGCACGCCAATCAGTAGAGTGGTCACTACCAGAAGAGGTACCTGTCCTCGACACCGGCACAACACCGCACGTTTCTCCATGATTTCTCGTTCGCACGTGTGAACAGTCGAACGTGCGTCGTGACGCGAGAGTTAGCGCTGCCGCGTCGAGACTGAAGTTCTGACCTGACGCGAGGCCACGTATATCGGAGCGCGCACGAGGCGAATCAACCCCTTCCGCGCCGAGTCGCAACCCCGTGGTGCGCGCGAGCGAGTGAGAGACCGAAACAGGAGAGGGTTGCTCGGCCAGCAGAGAGCGCATCGTTCATCCCCACCGTCGTCGTCGTCGTCGTCGTCGCCGTCGTCGTCGTCGCCGCGTTCATCCCTCTTCGACGTGCCTCGCGACGCGGACTCGAAAAGGAGGATAAATCCTTCGCGTCGCAAGGCACCACTGCCATTCCCGCGCCGAGAGATTCTATCCTCTTGGCTTGGCACGGCATGACTTGGCTCGACTTGCGCGTGGCGAGCTTTGCTTTGAGTTACGCTGACACACCTGGATTTACTTAGAGCCTGGTGATTATGACGGGATGAGAGTTGTGTTAAGTCTCTTCCCCTCGCGCACAGTAGGACTTTATTTTACGCGTCGCTACAGGTGAGCGCGTTGTTTTCTTCCCGGTAAAACCGAAACGCGAAAGAGCAGAGAAATGTGATATACAAGATAACGCGGGTCGGGGGTACATAACTTGACTTTAAAAAGTTACTACTAACGTAAATTTTATTTACGCATTAAAACACGTATATTTTGCATTGTATAAATTATTCTTTTAATCACGTGTTACGTATGTTGAAAATATTATCGCAGAGACGAACGCACGTTATTTAATCTGAATCGACTGTTTTGTTCGCCTCGAAAATTTATGAAGAACTTGACATCATCGAGATGTAAGATAATAGAAACTTGTTACTTCGCGTTCAAAGGGAATAAAAAGCAGAATAAGAACGATAATTTTGAAAGTCAGGTGAAACAAAAATCGATTACTAAAAATAAGTCTCATAATTCTCAATTTCCGTAAACGGGACGCGAATGTGACGTTTGAATGTCGAGACTTGACTTACTAATCTGATTTATATAAACGTTCAGAGTTCAAAGATATCTTCTCTCCGACACGCGCGCGCGCAGCCCGGGGTTTATATTTAATTCGAGTTAAATTATATTTACTTTGCTAAAACGCGCGGTCTTTCCGTGTGTAGAGAGTGTGGAATATTTGCGTAGCGCGATGTAGCGCGAGATGATTTAAATTCCGCGCTCCGACACTACATCTCTCCCGGCAGTTCGCGTAAGAACGGAATCGATGCCACTCCACGCGATGGAACATTCAAATCCCAGTAGAATCTCTCTGTCTCTCTCGTTCTCTCTGCGAACACAAACAAAGAGATTCCCGCCGCCGCTGCCGCCGTCGCCGAAGAACCAATGCCTTGTGGACATTCGGGTCTTGCGCAGTTACATATATGTACCTTATTTGTCTGTAATGTGTATCCTTCCATTCCGACGAAAAGAATTAAAATCTCATTTGCAATCAAATACCCGGATGCAATTCGATACGATAAAAGATTGAGAGCAAGTATTCGCGTCCCGTATTACTAATCAATTCTGATTTTTATTTACCGAACGTAAAACAGTTGCATCCCGTATATACGTCGTCAATCGATTTAATTTATTGCGCGATATAAATAAAAATCAAAGATGATATATAATTATCTTGCGTTAATTATTCTTAATTTTCAATTCTTGAAAACGCGATGCGAGGAAAATATAAAATTATACCTTGTATTTATAAATTTATTTTTTTTTTTTATTTATAACTTTTCGCTCGAGAAACATCGTCCAATCGATTTGTTGTTGTCGCGCAAATATTTCACCGACTCCAACGTACCGGATTTTCAATTATCGAAGTCGAACAAACGACAATCTTCCAAACAATAACAATAAGAAAAAAAATCGTTTTATGTATTCTTTTATAGATAAAAGACAAACGATCGCGCGCGCCGGTGATATTGTGTGTAACGCAACAAAACTTCTGACGTACTATATAATCGGATATGTATATATCAAACAAGTTCATTCTGCCCGATTTATCTCCTTAACAGTGCGCTGTCAAAGGAAATGTCTCGTCAATCGATTCATCGCGTCATAGACATCCCGGCTTGATCATAGAAACCATAGATTCGCTTGAGGATTATCGAGAAGATGAAACGTGTACGATAATTGTTTCGATTGTTCGACGAAACGAATTCGGCGTCTCTGAACCCGGAAGGGGGTGGGGGAGGGTTTGTATCAAATTGGAAGTTACTTTCCTTCGCAGGAACAGACACTGTGCTCTTGCATATTTCACTTAAATTAGCCGACGCGAAAAGAAGCGTGTATAACTGCGAGTAAACTATTTTCAAACCGATAAAGGAAACCCAGACGAGTAATTGGAAAAACCGGAAACGAGAGTGCGGAACTTCAGACTATCGATTTCCCTGTACACGGATTGGGCCAGCGGCGTAAAGGTAACCGATCCCTTTTTTTGCGCTCGTAAAGTTGCAGAGAATAGTCAAAAGTATATAGACTCTGTTCTGGAGAAACTTTACTTCTCATCCCCCTCTCTCTCTCCTACCAAAGAGTGTTCCGATACCGGAAGAAGCTCTGAAAGCTCCGGCGACGGCGGCTCCGAAGACGTCGTATTACGTAATTCTATCGGGAAAGGTCGTAGCGCCTTCGTCGCGCCGCGCGATTGTAACAGACGGATTGATGTACGATCCAACGAAATGTGCATGAAAGACACTGTATCACGGGCCCCCGCGATGATATATCCCCTTCAACGCAATCTCGAAACCACCCTGGCAAGCATACGGCGCGGCCCGCTACGACTCCTGACTGCTACACAACCACTGTCGTTCGATTACACACATCGTCGATCTGCCTGGAGGCTCCTCAAGTTGGCCGGCGTTACATAGCTCGTTTGTGATACTCTGCTACTGTATACTGTCTCTGTGTGTGTGTGTGTGTGTGTGTGTGTGTATGTGTGTGTGTATGAGAGTATGAGTATGGCTAAACTAGTCTGACGTCTGACTATTGCACGCATGATATCTGGCGCGCGTAAAACACCGCTGTTATGTAAATTCGCGAGCGCGCGCACGTGAATGTAGAAGTTACGAAACATATTCACACGTGTGAATACGTTCGTGTGTACAATGTCCGAGAAAACGAGGACGCGCCCATTATATAATATATCTATATTATACGTGGGCAGCCCTCTCTATACATATAGCTATTTGTATTTGCATTTATTTCTAATTCGCATTCGTTTTCTAGTCCTACGTCGGGGTTTCGAGATTTCGCTGCGATTTCGCATTATCGATCGTTGAGATATTATTTTTCTTTTTTCTTTTTTTCTTTTTTTTTTTGGTTTTTGTGTTGTCGAACGTGCGAAACTTCGCGATATTGTCAAAGAAAATAAAATAGTATTTTTATGCACAGAGAGAACACATCGAAAACATTATATCGTTCATTTAAGCGAATTGGTGTATCGCAAGCGGAATATCGCAAAACCGATTTTCACATTTTTAGCAATTTCTATGCAAACCCGCGGACGATAATCGATGGCTCAATCTCGTCTCTATCTTCCGTCAGACCGAAGACAATGGCCATCCGTTTTTCCGACAAATTTTTCCCGCCAACCTCTCGTGTCCTCGCACTTTGGCGTGCGAGACCTCCGGTGATCGCTACGCGGTAAAAATTTATCGTGGAAAATTGAAGTGCCACAGAATAATTGCTCGATCAGAAGCGATCAAGATTCCAGATAGAGAACCGTTCCCCCCCCTCCCCCCCCAAACGATCTAGCCACGCGATAGTACCCCGCCCAAGATTATTGCGTGCCGTTCCGAGATCGCAGGGCTCACGAAACTGTAACCGTTCCTGTCGATTACGCCGAACTTTTAATTTTAAGCCCAGACGCTTATCATTTGTCTCGATAATTTAATACATATTGCGTTAGTCAGCGCTCGCAACGTACGCGTATATACTTTTCACGAAGAACGTTTCCACATTCTTTGTCGCAAACGTGTATTTATATTTTACGAGAATTTTCCATAACATCTAAATTTTTATTTACTTTTTATTACTTTAGATAATTTAAGTAAATAAAAGTATTTGTCATTTATATTGCAAACAGATATTTATGAAATATTTATAAAATAAATAAAAATTTCTCAGCACTCACCCAATTACCCGCGGCATTAGAGATGAGAAGTGTCAGCGTCGCGCAGCAAAACTTCTTGTCTCGACCAACTCTCGCAGCGCGATTCCTCGAAGCTCCGAATACTGAACAATACTCTCAACTCAGGGTTGTTAAAATGTATGTATAAAACATTTTTATACGTTACACGTATAAAATTAGGTATAATATGTATAAAAATGTCGAAAAAGTATATTACATTGTATCTTATTCAGGGAATAAGTACATGTATTAAACATCGTATTATACGTATTTTGTGTATAATACATACGGAATGTAAAATACTCTGTATATTATGTATTAAAGTGTATACTATGTCTTTTCTTCCAAGTTTTTAATTATCACAATAGTAGTAACGTTAGTAGGCCTTTTTACTATCATATGTCACTTGATGGCGCATGAATCGTGTGAGCAGTCATTTTCGTTGTAAGTCATTTTCCTATCTTCAGAAACAATATTACTCATATTCTCTCCAAAAAGTTCATATTAAAATAAATTATAAAAGTAAGCTTCAGACAAAATTTTGTCAAATAAAAAATTTTTCTAGAATTTAGTCAAGAATATGTATTTTCAAGGATAAAGAGTTGTTCTGAATCACCCCGTATATGACATATGTATGTGTGTGACTAATGAGTATTTTACTATATTAGGATACTATAGATATCAAGAAACTATTAATTATAATAACATGCAGTAACTGCCATTTTAATGGCTTCAAAAGTTTCTTCTTTAAAGTTTACGTTATCTTCTTTTGGATATAGTTTGTTTGATGTAACACAGTTCGCTTTGTAAAATTAATACATTTGCTTATGTTTAAAAAATTACTTTTTTATTATTTCCTGTCCTCCACACACACACACATTAGCAGAAATA